TGAATTTGCTGATTAGTTCAAGTAGCAAGCAGCTTTTTGCTGTTTGTTTTTAATGGAGACTTCGGGATTTTCTATATATAAAATGATGTTATGAGCAAATAATGATACATGTTATCTAGATTATAAGAGCCAAAACTGATTTAATTCCACAAAATTTTGAAAAATGGTTTGTAAGTAACAACACAAAAATCTATACATATGAAATGAAATGTAACCAGAGAGTTAAAGTGTGGTATTCATGGTAAATGTATTAAAAATTTACTGAAAAACAATTTTATTGAGTTTATTGGTACATTTTACATATACAGTACAGTTACATTCATTGTTGGGATCCTGTACCTCTACATGACAGGTCTTGGTTCTCATTTTTTCCCCTTGTCCCTGCCCTCCCTTCACCACCTCCTCCCCTCCCCATTTACAAACACTTTATTTACATTTTTTCATTTTCTCATATTTTTTTTCTTTTCCCTTATTACCTTTCCCCTGCCCTTTCCACTTTCCCTACACCTTTAGCCCTTTTCTTCCTATTTCACAATGTCAATTATCTCATTAGGATCTTATGTACTATTTATAGTTTTTCACACCAGAGAAACTATTTGGTATTTACACATGTGTGACTTATTTAATTCACTTAGGAGTATATCTTCAATATGTATCCATTTTCCTATAAATGAGTCTAATTTCTCATTCTTTATGGCTGAGTAATATTCCATTTTATAGCCAAACCACATCTTTATCCAGTTTCCAACTGATGGGCAAATGGGCTGTTTCCAAGTTTTAGCTACTACAAACTGTGCTGCTATAAACATAAGTGCACATATATCTCTGTTGATTCTTTTAATTCTTTTGGAAAGATACCCAGCAGAGGGATGGCTGGTCAAATGGAACCTCTATTTCCAGCTCTTTAAGGTATCTCCATATTAATTTCCACAGTGATTGCACCAGTCTGCACTCTCACCAACAATGGAGAAGGGTTCCTTTCTCCCCACAACCCCGCCAACATTTGTTATTGGTTGATTTCTTGATAGCAGCCATTCTTTGTGGGTGAGGTGAAATCTCAGTGTTGTTTTCATCTGAATCTCTGTGATGGGCAAATGGGCTGTTTCCAAGTTTTAGCTACTACAAACTGTGCTGCTATAAACATAAGTGCACATATATCTCTGTTGATTCTTTTAATTCTTTTGGAAAGATACCCAGCAGAGGGATGGCTGGTCAAATGGAACCTCTATTTCCAGCTCTTTAAGGTATCTCCATATTAATTTCCACAGTGATTGCACCAGTCTGCACTCTCACCAACAATGGAGAAGGGTTCCTTTCTCCCCACCCCCGCCAACTATTTGTTATTGGTTGATTTCTTGATAGCAGCCATTCTTTGTGGGTGAGGTGAAATCTCAGTGTTGTTTTCATCTGAATCTCTGGAATGACCAGTGATGTGGAACATTTTTTCAAATATTTACTTGCTGCTTTTACTTCTTTGTCTGAGAAATGTCTGTTCATTTCAGATGCCGATTTTGAATCTGGTCTTTATATTTGGAGGGGGCTGATTGTTTTCAGTTCTTTATATATTCTAGATAATAATCCTTTGTCTGAGGAGCAGCTAGTAAAAATTTTTCCCACACTGTAGGTTGTCTCTTAGTTCTGATGATGGTTTCTTTTGCAGTACAGAAGCTTTTTAATAAAATGAGATCCCAGTTGTTGATTCCTTCTTCTAGTTCCCATGCTACTGAGGATTTTTTCATAAAATTTTTTCCTATGCCAATGCCTTCAAGAGTTCTGTCTACCTTATCTTCCAGCAAGTTTAGTATTTCTGTTTTAATATTTAGATCTTTCATCCACTTGGATTTTAATTTAGTGCATGGTGAAAAATAAGGGTCCAGTTTTAATCTTTGGCAGGTTGAGATCCAGTTTTCCAACACCATTTATTAAAGAGGCTATCCTTCCTCCACTGAGGATATTCAGCTCCTTTGTCAAAGATGACGTAGCTGAGTACATTACTGAAATTTTTTGTATGACGCTTCAAAGATATAAATGAGATCTATACCAACTTTTTCTCTCGCCTTTCTTCTGCCTCTCCCTTCTCTTCTTATCTGGAAAATATGTTTTATGTTTTGAAATTCTTTGAGGTGCTCTGGTTTGTTGGTACTACAGTAGTGAAGACTAATATGACTTTGAAAATCACTCCACTATTTGAAAGAAGTTAAGAAAATAATTTCAAAGTGCAGATATTATTCTATTGGTAGTAATTAATGTTACTAAGGCAAAGAGACACAGCTATGACAGAATCAGCTTTCATAATTACTGAGATATTTTATAATGGTTTGGCTATATCTATTTGAGTGTAATGAAAACTTGAACACATTTCATGTTTCAATTATGCCAAATATGCTGTTAAAGACATTCTTAGAGATCTACACTAATCCTGTCATGTCCATCACACAGGTACTACTTCTCTCTTCCTAGTAAATATAGTAAACTGTAGGGAATGTATTTCACAGTTTTAAATTCTCTCTGTTGGTATACAAAAAGGAATCAGAATCCATTACCACAAGACTTGATATCTTTGTCCTATTTTTTAAATCTTTATTGGAAACTACGTACCTAAGATCAGAGGATCAAGATCCCAAAGGGAAGATAATGTCAAGGAAGTAAGCCGAGTCTACGTCTCCTGTTATTTTTAAAGATTCATTTTGGGAATAAGGGAAAAGGGAGTTAGCATGCACAAAGAGACAACCTTTTCTTTCTGCCTACACCCTACTCGTGTGCCGTTAATTCTCTAATGTTATATAGCAGACTTTTACTTACTAATTGTGTCCAAGGGTCTGTCTGTCCCTTTTTTAAATTTTTTTTAATTTTTTTTTTATTTTTTATTTATTTATTTATTTATTTATTTATTTATTTATTTATTTTTTTGGTACCGGGTCCTTGCGCTTGCAAGGAGCTAAATCCCCAGCCCTTCTTTTTAAAACTCTTAATGCTTTACCCATACGCCACTGATGGGTCCCCTTTCCCTCCAATTATGAATTCCCTCCAATTAGTTATTTCTGAAACTGACCCATTTTGGATTTCAGTATTTGGTTCGTTGCTTCCGTTTTCTTCTTAATTTAGCTCTCTATTGATCTCTGTAAATATTATAATATGTCACTTTCATCTTGGATGACCTTGATCTGCTAGAAAGATACGGATTTTCTTACTATTCATTGAAAAAATAGTAATGAGAAACTAGTACATACCAACCACTACTGTACCCACGGAATAAAAGGAGCACAAACACAGGCCCCCATTTACTAGAAAATGCATGGGAAAATGATTATGAACTACTATATACTGTATAGAATTAATATTATGTCTTTTGTTTGTTTGTTGAGACAGGGTCTCACTATGTAGTAGAGACTGACCCGGAACTCATTATGTAGCCCAGGCTGGTCTCGAACTCCAGCAATCCTCCTGCCTCAGCCTTCTGAGTGCTGGGATTACAGGCGTGCTCCACCACACCCAGCTGGAATTAATTTTAGATAATCAGAAATAGTATAAAAATACAAAGAAAGAGCCATAATAATAATAAAGAACAATAATTGATAATAGTGTTCGCTGCATTCTACTGCTGATAAACCCCTCTGAGAAGGTAACATTTGAGAAGAAATTGTGTGGGCCATTATAAGTAAAAATAAGTATTATAAGTAAAAATAGAGTCTAAGGAGGACACAAGTATGAGGTATGGTATGAAAGCCAGCATTAAGTCTATCATGGGGGAACAACATGTTTAGGTTTTCAGTGGGCCTTTCTCAGTCTTAATTAAAACAACAACTATGACCTGACACTAGTTTTCAAAATTCTCTTGTAAGGATGAACCCTAAGAGTATTATAGAAAAAGAAGTGATGGGCAGGGAAATGGGGGAAAAATAAGAACCAAGATACATCATGTAAAGGTACAAGATCCCAATGATGAATGGCGTAACTGTACTGTACACCTAAAAGGTGCTGATACACTTACTAATAATAATTAACACAGGAGGGGTGAGGATTACATCCGGGGACACCAATGAAGAGAAGAGTGAGGGGTTTGATGTGGGATGTATTCCGGAGCACTAAACTGCTTGATTTTCTAACAGATTTGACAAGCAAGTGGATACAGGCAATAAAAAAGACTCACCTTGTAAGGCTTAGAAATAAGAGAAAGCGGTCATTCAAAACAGTGTCCCATTGGTATAAATGGGCCACTTTACACTTACTGAGAGGTTGACAGGGAAGTGGGGAATCTCTGTTTTCATAGCATTTCAATCCAATTGTATTAGAAAACTGTAACATTCATTTCTAAATGTAATATGTAAGTGGAAATTGAAATTATATGTTAAATTACATATATCCAACTCGGGTGTTTTTAAATTTGAGGAAAATGTTGTATTTTGCATATTGCATATTACCTCTCTAAATACCGTTAAAGTGTATTTAAATGCTGAATTATACATCACCATGGTAAGACCATATTTACACAAATTAACCAATAACATTCCTAAATCTTATAAATTCACAAATCGATTGAAAAAGTTACATTATTAATCTATATTTGCATATTATGTATCATAATTGAAACAGTATTTGTATTTTTCCATATTATTTGTCAACCACAATGAGAAATACTAAAACTGGGCCAAAATATGTAGTTATTAATCCATAACATTTACTTCAGGAAAAAATGATAATTCTCTCTTGTAAATGCTTATTACTCCAGTTTTTTGAAACAAAATTTCCCATATCATTATGGATCTTAAAGTATAAACACACCTATATTTAATATACATTAGGTTTCAGATAGTTTAGACAGAAAATAAGTGGTATTCGTTGATCTCATGATGTGAGCACTCAGTAAATATGTTGCATGAATGCATTAATGAATTCTCAAAGTATTCAAACTACAGCTATCTGGTTTAATTGACATTTCTAAATGATTTTTCAATGTTATATACAATGACACAGGCACAAATATTTTCAAAGAGTCGTACCTCCCAGAGTAGCAGATAGTAAGAAATGAGTCCCATATTTCTTGATAAGATTTTCTGTGATTTGCTGAAGGGTAGGTCGACGTCCCAAAAGTCTTATGTTGCGGAAGAATTCAGGGGCAAGAGGCAGAGGGGAGCCAAGGAAATTTCTTCTCTCAACTGCAAGGTTATTTACTTTCCAGCGGCCAAACTCTCTGAAAAGCAAATTTATTTTTATTCATGAATGCACAATCTATCTGAATGTTTTCATTTGAAAAGTTCAATTGGTAGTTTAGCTGAGGTCACCACATTACAATGACTAAAGCTTGTAATCATGTGTCTTGTGCTACGAGTAGGAGAAATAATATTTATAATTTATTTAACTGAAATGAATACCTAAAGCCAAGCCATATAGTGGAAAAATAAGCCACTTAAAAGTGAACAGCTTCCACTGACATATTTTTTGCCAAGCAAAGATGTATCTATGAAAAATAATTTTATTATGCACAGAATCTGAATGTGGAATTATTCAACAACAACAAAAACAAAAACTAATATAATGACTTTCTTTGGGAAACAAATGAAGAAAATTATTTTCATTACTCAGAGCGATACTCTATTCACATTAGCATGGGAGCCTTTGAAACCTCAAAGATATTATGGAGTGACCCCCCCAAAAAAAACTAAAGAGCTCATCAAAAGAGAAACTATGTTTTTTTCATTTTCATTTGATTTTTCACAGTAATCATTGTTTATAGCATATTCTGGAACTCGAATTCAACTTGATTAGTGCTTTCTTAAGGTAGAAAATGACTACAGGCGGATGTGGCGTATTAGAGACATGGGAGGTATGGTTATAAAGGATTTATACATTAAAAAGACTTACACATGCACTCTGAGTGAAAAGCATCTTACTACTTTAAAAAAGAGCTGTGGTGTGAACTGGACCTCTCTCAACAGTGGACTCACTTTAATGGCTTAATACTTACAGGTGTACCTTAAAGTCAGTATTTATCAAACAAAAATTCTTGATTTTATGTTTTATACCCTCGGACGGTATTCATATATGCCCTTCCCCCCACCTCCAAATAACGATTGCAGTGCACCAGGCACAGCACAGGCTGAGGGATTCGTCTATGAAAGAGACTAGTACTGCCCATCTCCAAATGAAGTTCACCTGCTAGAGAAGTTTTAAAAATAGATAAACTAAAAGTGTAAATAAGATTCTAATAATATAACTGATGATGTGAAATAGGATGAAAACGGCTGAAGGAGTAAGGGAAGTGGGAAGGGTAAGAGAAAGGAAGGGAAAGAAAAAATATGAGAAAAGGAAAAAGTGGAAACAAAGTCTTTGTAAGTAGCGAGGGGTGGAGGGGTCAAGGGAGGGCAGGGGTAAGGGGAAAGATAAGAACCAAGATCAGTCATGTAAAAGTGTAAGATCATAATGATGACTGTAACTGTACTGTATACCCAAAAAGTACCAATAAACTTAATGAAAGAAAAAAAGACAAACAGTTACAATTTTTAAAATTCAAATTGTGCTCAATTCTGCGAACTACACAGATTTCCTGCTAGGATTAGCAGTGCGATTGTGTCCAGTCCTGTCCTGTTTTGAATTAAATCACCAGGCAGAGCGTCTCTTGGGTGCATGTGGCATTTGAAGGAAGTGAAAGTTTTCAGATGGAGGAAGTAGGCAAAACATTCACACAAAAATAATGAAGAATACTACAAGTCCTCATGGGGGAATGAGCCATGATCTGGGCAATTGGTAACGATGAATATTTTGCCAAGTGACACATATAGAGCAGTGACAAAACACACACACACACACACACACACACACACACATTTGGAAACTAATGATAAATTAAGTAATCAAACTGATTCCTTCATTAAGAAACTTGTTTTCCCCTCTGGAATAATGAATTTGACCAGTTTTAAATATTTTTGCTTTACTGCTGGTTCTAAACATCAGCGATTGGTAGAATCAACTGCAAACTCTCTCCCAGAATTTCTGATTTATTGGATTTGGGGTAAGAATAAAGCATGAACTTATAACAGAAATGCTAATGCAGCTTTTCTAAGGACTATACTTTGAAGAAAACAATTGATTTAGATACTGTGATGTATTGACTTTAAAATCTATTCAATACCCTGTGTTTTCAATAAAAGTAAGGCATATTTTTAGAAGACAATAAGAATTCTTTGTATCTGAATTTTGTGATGTGAATATGTAAAGCATATACACGTGTGACATATATGTATTTCATTATATGTGTAAATATCTGTCTTATTGGCACTATGTCACAAGTATGTAGTAACATAACTTCTAAGAAGCTATTTATTAAACTTAAAAATAGTTCTTTATACCTTCCTAAAATTACAGGTTTGCTCTCGTTCTCCTAAAATGTTTATAATTTTATCAGCTTAATCCTAAAATAGTGATATATGTTTTTCTAAGGATTAAAGAGTGAAATTTATTAAAGTGTATATAAATTTATAAATTAATATCTGAGTTTCTAAATGAATTCAATGAACTTTAAGTAAGACGATTCTGTCAGCGGTGATCCATGTAAACTTTACTGAAAAGGTAGTTCTTATGGATGAGGGTAACTACATATTATAAGAATGGGATTTTAGCCTTCCTCAACATTTTAAAAAACACTAAGCTAATATATAAATACAAATCCATGAACTATTATAAATGGAAGTATGAATGACTTCCTTATTTCGTTCAATTTTGAAATTGACAGAAAACAAACATAAGACAAAAGAGATAAAACATATTTATGCCATTTTTATATTACTTATAGTAACATTATGTACATAAAACATTTGCAAAAGTACCACTCTCAGTATAAACTTTCATTATTATATACTGATTTTGTTAGTATATTGATGACATATGAAAAACCTGAAATTTCTCAAATGAAAATATGCATATAATACAAAGACAATTAAATAAATATTCAACATCACTAATCTGAGGTAAATGCAAGCCAAAATTATAGTGAAATATCACCTTATTTCAGGATGAATGAGTGAGTATTGTCAAAGAGATAGCAAACGCCAGTGAGTATACAGAAACAGTTGTAGACTGACGGTGGGAATATAAATTATTATTGCTATTACGGGAAACACTAAGGAGTTTCCTCAAACAATTAAAAATAGAATTGCCTGAGTTTATAGCAGTTGAACACAGACAGGAAGTTAGCAGAGATCAGGCAAAGCAGAAATGTTCCTGAGATGGGAAGTGGTTGATCAATAATATAAAGTTATAGTTATCTAACTGTACTGCAGGCTGTGTATAGATCGTGAATGATGATTTATTTTATTTTTCAGAAAGCTAGAACACAGGACTTTGAATGGTTTCCCAATAAAAAAGATAAATGTATGAGAAAGCAGATTTAAACATATATTGGGTACATGTGTGAAAATATTACATAAATATCATACTTGTATGAATTGTTTATTCAGTTTTGTATCACTAAAAATTAAATTGAAACAAAAGAAAACCTCTGACCCACAATTGGTAAGTATGTTACTGAGATAAAATATGAATGAATAACCGGCATAATTGGCCCTTGCAGGCTTTAAAATAAGTTATCTTTCTTAAAATTCAAATGTACTGTATTTAGCATAAAACTTCTACCAATTTATAACTATTCCTTGAGGCGGGCATTCCGCATCTGTTTCTCTTCAGGTAAGTTTTCTTTTCCTTCAGATTCGCACAGCTTCTTCAGGTATAAGGAACCTAACTGTGGGAACCGTGTGTGGGGTATTCTCAGCTCCTACCGGCTCAAGTCCCTACTTTCTTATGTGGACAAAAACACTGCCACCTTGTATGATCCATTTGCCCTCTGTCATGCACCAACCAAAAGCAAAGAACAAACTGTGGGCACAAACAAATTAAAACTAATTTATGAATTAACTAACAAAATAAAGAAATACATAAACCCAGTATTTTAATAATAGAAAATTTTGTCTTCGTTTACAAGCTTTATTTAAAGTTATTTTCCCTCATATTATCCTCATATTACATCCTCATATTATACAGAATCAAGCAAAATGCTATAGTTCCTTTCATGTATATCCAACATGCTTAGCTTGGGTAGAAAACAAACATGTTGAAATGTAAAAGCTCTCTCATTCCACTTGCTATATTTATTCGCTTTTCCCTTATTTATTCCCTTCCCTTCTTTCCTTCCCCTGCCTCTTCCTCGTCCCCCTTCTCCCTTTGAATCTCTTCTTCCTACTTCACAGTATCTGTTATACGTTTTGATCCTTCTTTACACTTTCAGTTTCTCACACCAGAGAAACTATTTGGTATTTACACGTGTGCCCTATTTATTTCACTTAAGAGTATATCCTCAATGTGCATCCACATAGCTATAAATGTCTGTTTTCTCATTCTTTATGGCTGAGTGCTCCATTTTATTTTCATACACACACACACACACACACACACACACACAATCTTCCTTTATCCAGTCTCCTGTTCGTGGGCAATTAGTTTGTTTCCAAGTTTCAGCTATTACAAACTGTGCCACTATAAACATGGGTGCATATATTTTGCTTTATTGTGATGATACATGATCATAACCTTTTTCCAATCTCTGAGCTAAAACTCATATAAATAATCCTGAAAAGCTATTATAATAGCATTTTATATAGGGGAAATTCTCTCTGGGAGGCTAAGTACTATCACACTGTAACTAAACATAGTTACTTTATTAGATATAGTCTAAAAAACGTTGTGTCACTTTCCCTAAACCCAAGATAAGATTTCACTTACTGGTGTACATTAAAGGCCAGTGTGACCGTGTGACTGGCTGACCAATGTCATGTGAGGCGTAGCATTAAGCTAGCTATTATCCTTGATCTTGATCAAGCTCCATCAGGGTCCCTATCCCCAAATCTAACCATGCCATTTATCAGGATGAACAAATATATGAAGTATACATGAATTTATATAAATTCACCAGGTTTATTGGGTTATTGTTTGCTTGTTTTGTAGCAATATAATACAGAGCCTCATGACTTATATATTTTGACTTTGAGAAAACATAGAAAAGAAACAAGGAGTTAATGTGTTTACATATTTTCTCATTCCTGAAGGAAGGATTCACCTGAAATAAAGTAAACTTGGCATTCATTAAATTTTGGAAAAACAAAACAGTGGAGTGATGAATTGAAAACATTTTCCTAATGTTAA